CGAACAATGAATCATGGAACACTTCATCTAGAACTAATGATGTAATGTATGGGGATTAACATAAGAATAAAAAAATAAATAAAAAAAAATAAAAACATTTTTTAAAAAAATTGTGGTCAAATAACATGGCATGGAATTTTCTGTCTTAACCGTATTTAAGTATACAGCCCATTGGCATTAAGCACGTTCATACTGTTGGGCTACCATCAGCATCTCTCGAACTTTTATATCTTCCCAAACTGAAACTCTACCCATTGACCAATAACTCCCCATTCCAACCACCACTCCTCATGCTTCCAGACCCTGGCAACTACCATCCCACTTTCTGTCTCTGTGAATCTGGGTCCGTGAGATACTTCATATAAGTGAAATCATACAGTACTTATGAGGCTTATTTCACTTAGAAAATGTCCTCAAGTTTCGTCCCTGTTGTAGCATGTGTCAGAATGTCCTTGCTTTGTTTATCCATTCATCCTTTGATGCACGCTTTGCTCCCACCTTCTGAGTTGCTGTATGGGTGATTAGGTGACATTTCAGAGCCTTGAGTCAAAACGTCACACTCCAGAAGCCAAAACTACAGGCTTCAGCCATCTTTGTCTCCAATCAGTACCAGGGACTTTGGTAATGAACACAATACCTGTTACTAATGCTCTTTCACTGGCGAAGTCATTCCTGTCTGAGATTTGTGGATTGGCTAGAAATACCAGCAAGGCATTCTTGGCCCTCCAGGAACAGGGTGTTAGAATCTAGACACCCAGTACCTGCAAGAATACTGCCCCAGCCTTGATTTATAAGTTACCCTGTGTTTAGACGCTGCTTCAGAGAAGTCTATCTCTCTTGACCCCAGCCCGAGGGTTAGCTAATCCTGCTGCTAGAATATTGCTTCCAGTGAATTTTCCTGAGAGATGCTCTTGGAGCACCTCAATGGACAGAGAGAACTGAGACTTCGCCAAACTTACGGAACAGATCCAAAGACTGTTTTGCACCTGCTTGCTAATATGTTGTTGATGAATGTGTTCTGAAATTCGATCTAAGATACTCTCTGAAACTGAGTATTGGAAGTTACTGACCTGTAGATATTTTTAATGAGGTGTAAATGGCATACAATGTGGTGCACACGTTAAATTTTCTAAGTTTTGATATATACATAACACCTGCGAACCGATCACCATAATCAAGACGGTAACGGTAAGCACATCCATTACCTATAGAAGTTTCTTTCTGCCCTTGGTAATCCTCCCTCTCCTCTCTCCCTGCCTATCCCCAGGGTCCCCAGGCAACCATTGATCTGCTTTCTGTCAGTATACATTGGTTTGCACTTTCTAGAATTTTGTATGAGCGCACTCAGACAATGTAGATGGCATACAAGAGACCATCGGCGTGTCTCCTCGGGTCCGGCAGCCCCCTAATTTGTCTGAACTCAAGATCAGCTGGGGCTACCGCTTAGGGAAAATACAGATTCCCACCCAATGGGATTCCCCAGGGCAGTGTGATGGGATTTGAGGGTTTGCAGGCCCCCAGGGGATTCTTAGGTTTAGGGAAGTATGGGACACAAAGCCAGTGGAGCCAAAAACAATAGAAATCCCCTTCAGTTCTGAGGGGACGCTTTTGCCTTTGAATGCATTTCACAGCTTATCTCTAATTTACTGTTGTTTAGAACAGCAGAGAGACTTCTTAAAGACTTTACGGGATCTGAATCTTTTTCCCATGTCGAGTCCTGCGTGGAATGAATGAAGCCCAGACAGTGTGACCTGGGAGGAAGGACGGGAATCTGCTCTGTTCTGCCTCCTAAATCTGTCTCCTGCCCTTGCACATCTCCTTCTTCCCTTTTGCCTCTACCTCAACCCATGACATTCTACCATCTTCCCCTTAAACAGGCTTCTAACTGGTTTCCTACACTCACGCTTTCTCTCTCTCCCTTTCTCTTAGCCACCCAGGCCCTCAGAACTGCCATTGTAAAACTGAAACTGAATCTTGTGCCTACATTAACCACCGCCTTCAAAAAATTTTTTTTTGAGAGAGAGAGCACCTGCGGGGGCGGGGGGGGGGCGGGGCGAGGCAGAGGGAGAGAGAGAATCTTAAGCAGGCTCCACACCCAGTGTGGATCCCGACTTGGGACTGGATCTCAAGACCCTGAGATCATTACCTGAGCTGAAATCAAGAGGCTGATGCTTAACCAAGCCACCCAGGCGCTCTTACATTAACCCCTTTTAAGGCCATCTACATCCCAGCCCGAACTACCCACTCCTGCCCACCTCCCCCACCCACCTCTTTTTTCCACACCATTACCCCCAAAACCTGGATTTTTTTCTCATTTTTTTTTTCAAAGCGTTGTGCTCCCTTTCGTCCTTAGATCTTTGCATATGCTGTTTGCTGTTTCTTTTCCTGGAGTCCTGCCTGCCGTTTCCGGACCCCAAGGCACCCTTCAGATCTTTGCTTTAAATACTATTTTCTCTGGGAGGGCTTCTCAATCTCCTGGATTGAGTTAACTTTTCCTGTTGTGTCCTGCCATCCACTCTCTTCTACTATAGCACCTGCCACAATTTCTCGTTACTTGAACTACCTGGTTGTCTGGCTAGGTTGTAAATTCTTTGAGGGCAGGGGTAATGTTTGTCTTGTTCTGCTCTGCCCTGAAATCCATCTTAGGGCCTGGCCACAGTAGCCACTCAACAGCCCAATTGTATCTCCTTCTGCCCTGCATTCTTCCCCACAGTATCCGCAGACTTCTCTTACAGATGACTGCCTGGCCAAAACAGGTTGTTACTGCATCTCAGTAAACAAATTTGCTTGTTTGTTGTATGAGCGCTTAGTGTTCATCAGCATAGAAAACAATGAAAAATAGGCTAGCTCCATATATTTCTGACAAAGAAGGGTAGCCCTGTGGGGGTAACTTTCTATGGTAGTAAGAGAAAGAAAAGTTTGCACTTAAGTGCGGCACCTGACTGTAGACCTGCATCACTCTCTCTCTTTGTTCCATGGGCTTCCAAGTTCATTGTAAGGCTGAGTGAGAAAGAAAGCACGAATCACAGTGCGGCAGGAATGAATTATTGCTAAGATTA